AGGTATAGACCACTGAGCGACCCGATACTCCGACGGTTGCCTCATAGAGCCGGCCGGACCGATTCTCATCCTCAGGCGTCCTGGTTTTCGATCGTCGAGTTGGGATGTCGGTACAAACGCCCGAGGTGCATGGCGCTGACGGGTGTGTCGGTACAAAGGCGCGAGGTTCTCCGGCCACGGGTTGACTTCAGACGGAACCCACCAAGGCGTATGGTGCCAGGTTGGGAATTGGGAGACATGGAGCTAGCATGCCTGGGGCTAGCAGGCCGGTAATCACACACTGAGAGGAAGTCCAAAATCCAGCCAGGTAAGAATTTAACTAAACCTGGTTTCTCCATTGCCCTCTGGTGTGCCTCAGCCCGAACAGCCTCTCGCTGCTGACCCCTGGACGCTCCCAACCATCGACTAGAGCAGACAGCCAAAGCAACGGTTAACTCCAATATCTCCTGCTCGAAAGGATCTGCTGGGCCCATATTTCAGGTCGGTTCGTACTGTCACGGTTTGTGAAACAACCAGGACCCAAATGCAGATACAAACTGAAAATTCCTTTATTTCAAGGCTATGATATATCTATACAATGACAAACAGAACACTCACCGCAGAACTAGTCAGGGAACAAGGCGAACCGACCAAGACAGACAGACAACCCAGAACTTAAATACACACAAGACTCAATCACACAACAAGACACAGGTGAGGAGGGAGGAGAAAACACAGGGGCCCAGGTGAACATAATCAGACCATTAGACACACCAGGGAAACTAATGACAAGAGGAAAACACAGGGAAAGGACCAGACAATAACCCAAAGGAAAACATGACATGGAAAACAGCAAAAACACCCAAACCTACAAAACTATAAACGTGACATAACATGAGAATCGTGACAAGTGGTGATTTTTAACAGGACGAAGAATTTCAATCATTGGAAGTCTGAATTTATCGGAGAAACCAGATGAGCTAACGTTAGCGGCAGCCAACAGAAAAAAGCTTACTTTTTAACATGGAATTGTTTAATTTAGTGTTGAACAGTGTTTTTCCTCACTGTGTCATTATGATTTAGTGAGAAGAAGCCTTGTGGATTAATTCAGCTCATGGTACTTTTTTAAGATTGTACAACAGTCAGCTGCTGTTCACCTTAAAACCACAAAAACACCTTGACCGAAGTCCAAATCCTCCTCCCAGACTCTTTTCATGTGATCTCATGATCTGAGGCCAAGTTATACATATCAACACTTGAATTATATTTATTGATTGATTATCTAAAAGAATGAACACCATAGAATATAAACACGTTCATTTGAAAGACTTTAATACACCAAAGTATTTCAATAAGGAAACACGAAAAACCTGGTGTGAATGTTTAAAGCATAAAATAACATTTCTCCATATGAAAAGACAGATTTTTGAGAAGTGAAACTGCATGAAAGAGTTTTCTTCTGTGTTTAAACCGGCGTCCTGCAGGTGCTTTGGGTCAGCAGGTCACTAAAAAACCTGATCACATGACTGGAAAACATGACGTGTGCTGAAGGCGGGGTGATGTGTTCAGGGACATCACGTGATAAAGGTCATGCAGTTCGCAGTGTGAATGTGTGTGTATTTTACATCTGCTTTTTGTGAGGACGTTTACACAGATCTCTCTCTTCCCTTTTCAAAGAGATGTTTGAGAGATCCCAATAGAATCAGGATTATACCTATAGGTTCAAATTAAAGGTTTATGTGTCATTTGCACATAAACTACATTAAATAAACTAAATTATTCTGACCTGGCTGAGCTCCTCCAACAATGCAACATGTACAGTATAATAGAATACAAAAATACAATAAAAGAAGTCTATATACATGTACATAGAATATGATATACAAGAACAGAATATGAAATTAAATAATGTACATTAAGACAAAATTAAATACGGTTTATTGCGGTGATAACTATTTATATAAAAGGTATACACAGGATTAAAACATTTTCTTTTTACACCTCATAGCAATTAGCTGATGCTTTTATAATTTATTTTATAAGACAAGCAAAAATCCTGCAAGTATATAGACTTTTAACGAGCTAAAACATGGGAATTGCCACCTAAAAATAACGTGAATTATGCAGGGTGCAGTCTAAATGTTCGGGTGTACATGTGTATTTTTTTAAATATGTTTTGGTGGCGATAAAATTCTCCAACCAAGGTTTGTGGTTGTTAAAACAGTGGACACACTTTACAAATACGTCTTAGTCAACTTAGAATAAAGAGCAGGATGTTTGAACAGAAAGAACATTGGTATTTGTAAAGAAAAATCTGTATTTTTGAAGAAACTATCTGTATTTTTGAAGAATTGACAGGTTTTTTGTAGAGAAAAAATGAGTAGAGTGAATTTGCCCCTTTAAATGACAGACACACACCTGCACTGATGAATTATGTATATTTGAGTGTCCTGTTCGCTCAGTGTTGTGTGTCACTGTGCGAGTTTCACCTGTCGCAACAATAACAAAGGATCATCTTTACAAACACGTGCAAATACATTATTTAAATGTGCACAGATGGCATGAATGGATATCTTACAAATACAAATGTTTTGTATTGCAAAACATGTTTAAATGTGCACGTTCCCACAGAGCTTTATTGTCCTGACATTAGCAGAATGTGAGCAGACGTGAAATCAGCCGGTTTCACTTCATGTCACATGTTCTGCTGCGGGAAACGGCACTCTTTCTGAAAGTGGTCAAAGATCAAATCTGTAAAACTACAATGTAATGCCTTAAATCAGTGGTGATAAATGTGATAATGTATTGGTCATTCAGGTCCTTTGCAGTGGTGCAAAGTAACTAAGTACATTTGATCAAATACTGTACCATTTTGTACTGTGTTCTCCTCCTCTACAGTTCAGAGGTACATGGTGTACTTTTACTCCACTACATGTATTTAATACCTTTAGTTACTTCACAGATGTGGATGAATGATGTGAAATATAATACCCT